TGTGAAATTAACCGTGCCATAAGAGCACTGGTAGTAAATTACTAAAAATGTAGTTAACGCTAGCTTGACTCGATAAAGCCAGATGCTATTGCTGTCCAGATTTAGGGTAAACATTGATTCCAAATGCATTAGCTGCGAAGTGCTGAACAAACAAGACTGAATGGTCGGGTGTGTGCCCCGGGTGAACTGCTTTCCACCCTCTTGTGGCGTGTGTTCCACCGAGCCACTGAGTCACCCACGGTCCCGGTGCTTTTAGCTGCAGTCGAGTGCGGTATATAATTTGTTTACAACTCATCTTCTTGGTTCTTTCGGTAAAGTCACGTAGAAGGGAAATAAAATAATTCTCACGACGTTTCGGCCACAACGCAAGCACCTGAGGACGGCTGCTTGCGTTGTGGCCGAAACGTCGTGAGAATTATTTTATTATGTTTTATTTTTATAATTGTATTATTTCCCTTCTACGTGACTTTACCGAAAGAACCAAGAAGATGAATCCCTGCAGTCACGAAAGCTTTAAATCGAAATTTTTTACAACTCTTTGTCAAGCCACTATTGTCCTGTACGTAGGCACCCCCCACACCGTGGGGGTCATGGGTCGGTGCGTGGCGATGGGGGGGGGGGGGTGTCTGTCCATACTTCACCATTCCGGTCGGTGTGGTGGGTTGAAAGGGGTGCAGCTTACATGGTCGGTATTCTTCAGTCTTTTTCGATGCGATACAATGCAACGTAGCTTGGTTTTACATAGAGCGTCTAAATGTGACCGCATATTTATTTTATAGAGGGAACGAGGCAGTAGTCATGGGAAGAGTCAAAACGAAGGTGCTGAGCCTGGATCTAGGTCATAAAAAAAACCCCGCTGAGACTTTGGGCACATTCCAAACGTGAGATACAGTATGTGGAAAACTAGAATTTGAAGAAAGCAGAGTGGCGACAGACATTTCACACCAGATGCGGAGAGAAGACTCAGATTCATGTAGACAGGTCAGAAAGGAGATTTTTTGTGTATCTTTCTACAAGCTCTACACTACACCGTGGGTGAGTGTCTCACACGTTGCTTGTGAGAACCAGCGAATTATTTGCATTTGAAAAATGTTGATACTCCTACTGATGCTCCTGCTGTTGTGGAGTGACTCATGCAGCCAGCTATGGCTACAGGGTTTGGTGGTACATGTTGTTAATGTCGTTTATTGTGAAATTCCGGTCACAGTTCCTATGATCACTGTTACATTGCTTATGGCTTTATTTTGGTGATTTCGAAAATGTTTTTTGGTTTGGCCATGTTTGTTTGTTGTAGTACAGAGTTAGATTGATGGCTTTAATCTAAGTTGTCTTGTTGTTGTTTGACTTGCATCCCACTGGGATTTTTGCACCACGTTGGTGTACGGTGCTTTTTTTCTGGAAGACTTTGCAGTTTTTTCCTGGATTTTTCTGTTTGCGCATAGTCACTTTAAGATGTTTTCTTGTTCATGTTTTTTGTTTGTTGCAGTTGCACCCGATTCAAGAGCACCCGATTCAAGAGCCGAATGGCTCACAGGGCTATACCAAATAAATGAAACTGTATTTCACATCTCTGCCAGAGCCACCAACACCAACATTCGAATGCTCCTTTTTTTAAATCCTCGTGGTCTCCGTGACCGTTGGGACACATCTGTTCCTTCTCAAAGTATTGCTGTCTCCAGGTTGTTCTATCTTGCACCTCCTTCCCTGATCCGTAACCTTGAGAGATTACAATCACATATAGCCCCCAGACTCAATCAGCTCTGTATCATTATGATTATTCTTCAGTAGGGTGTATACAGAGGAAATAAATACACCCGCTGGTGGTCTCCAAGATGGGAAAGACTTAGGGACAGGTCAAGGTTAGGTGTTGTGTTTGCTGACGTGTTGAGCGTCGGGGCACGTGGCAGGGCAGGGTAATGAAGGGTGAGGCAGGTGGGAATTTAAAGGGTGAAGGTGCACTTTGATTGGTGGATTATCTGCAGTAACGGTGAACAAATATGCACACATGACGTGTGCCACCTTTACGCGATCTGGTTTTTTTTTTTGCTTATCTTTTTGTCACTCGCACGAACTGACAGCATCAAAGTGTTTACATTTTGAAGACAAAAACACGTATAAAATCTCAAGCGGATGTGTTGTGTTGGCTACTGCATTTATATCTGGAACCTCCATGGATATCTTTTCTCCCCTGAATTTGAGTTTTCCGTGCAAGGTTTGAGAATGTGGAGGAACGGTGGCAGCACTTTGAGCTCTCATTCATCCGTAACACAAAATCAATTTCAGCCCAATCCGTCCCATTTTGTTCTCTTTCTCTCCTCTTTCCAGTATCTGGACACGTGGTAAATCATCACCACAGGAAGCACTCTGGGGGCGAGGGGGGGGTTTACGCGACTACTTTTAAACAAGGGGTGGAGCGGTGGTGCAGTGGTTGGTGCACAGCATTAAGAACCTGGCGACCCAGCTATGGCTAACATCAGTGGAGAGGTGATATTTATTGGGTCTCTCCGTTCGTAAAGCCGCACTGGCCAACGCCGTGAAGTATGGTCAAACCACACCCATGACTGACATGGCATGGTGAGGCCTTCACCCAGCAGTGGGCGTATAAAGGGCCCGTACATTGTCGATTTTAAAGAAACGTAAACAAAACCTAAATCTTTTTTTATAGTCCCTTTTTGTGTTCACACTTTTCCCGACATCGCATGTGTTCACTGCTGCACACGATGCAGTGCTCTTTTGGAGAGAAAAAAAATCAATTATCGTGGCATGTGGTTAGGCCACAGTGTATGACAAATAAGAAGGCACACGTCTGCATAATACGACCTCACGTGGCTGTAATGACATGTCACGTGTGCTTTATTACATTTGAGCACCAACTTTATTATCCAGGAGGACTATTAATAAAATCGACAAAGTGACGCGTTATATAAAAACTCAATTAAAGCGAAACATGGAAAAAAATGTCCACATTGATTTTAGTGTAACCATTACACTGGTAATTTTAAGCTCGCCTTAATAGCTTCGGATGATTTTCACGATTTAAACTGAGCTGTATATATGAATGCACATAGGCCGGCATTGAGCGAGAGTAATCATTACAGGGCGATAGAGATCTCCAGCGTTCATTTTAATGTGACATTTAACATTTTGTAAAGATAAGAATAAATGTGCAGCCCACTCCTGGTGGAAGAGCCCCAGCTAGAGGGAGCACTATAATGTTACTCTAGAGAACATTTGGCCTACTTTTACACCTCACACGACCTCCCAATCCATAGTGTGTTAGTTACCTATTTATGCTGCTGGGTGGACAGAGGCACGAGGGTTCAAAAACTTGCACCATTGTTCAACTGCCGCACTGGGAGATCGAATAGAACCGACGACCTCTGAATTAATTAATTCAGTGTGCCAAGCATGACACCATGGCAGCGTCTGAGTTTAATCAATGAGACATTAAAGGCTCGTTTTTTGTAATCGACACAAGTTTCCTTAACCTCCCACCAGTGTTCGCTTGCACCATTTAAGGCAACAAATTTTTTTTAATTTGCTAGACTAAAAGCAAGTACAATTGGTTTTCTGTGGACAGAACATCTCGATTATTAGGATAAATTCTAGATTGCCTTGAGTTAATATGGTTAGTTCTTTGTCTGTTTTTCCAGAAATGCTTTATGTGTTTTGGATTTGGTTCCACCTCAATGAAGCAGATTTCGAAAGCAGCCTCTTTCATTGGCCAGGGATACATTAGGTGCAAGTGTTTTACAGCTTTGTAAGCCAGCTGCATGCATGTGAATAGCCCTGTTATCATCAGACGCAAAAAAAAAACTTAAGACGTCACGCAACGTTTTCAAAAGATGAAATGTTCGAGCTCAGTAAAACATAATAATATTTTTTCTATTCATAAAGTGCCTTTCATCAATGATTTCAAAGCACCGTACAAAACACAGCAGACACTAAGCATAAAAATATAAAAATAACGAATTAATCTAAAAACTAAGAAACAACAAAATAATAAAGTATATACTAAAAGCCAAATGTCGTTTGCTATCGCTAGGTTAATGGTTATCAACGCATATCTCTGAAAAATGTAAAAATGAGTTTCACAGCCGACATTTGATGGTTCATTAGGCAAGAGGCAACTGTACCGCAGCTCGGATTTTTGGTCATGCATTATTTAGAAAAAAAATAATACATTTATTAATTATTTAAGCCATGCAAATCGCGACCCTTACTATGCGAACGTGACATCCTCAAGCGCACCTTGGTCATATTTATCCATAAAATAAGCGTATTATTAAATATTCATTATATGTGGCTCCCAATTTGAGAACAAATGTTACACAGTTGCAATGAAAAACAACACATTTCCTCATTAGACCGATGTGAGAAATATAATTTCTAAATTTCCAATCTTTAAGGCATTCTTGGTAGCAATCACATTTTATTCACGTATGGATGTTGTAATAGGATGCTGTCTAATTTTTTTGTTTAAATCGCAGCTGATCTGAGCCGCAAAGGGTTACAGAGAAACGACCTTTCAGATGATTGGCTAAGGCTCCCCCATGCCAGACTTTACCCGCGTGGAGATCCGTGCGAACGCCGGTACGCGCGCACACGCGATGTCACTCGCGCGTGCCACACACGAAGCCACTCCGCTGGAGGCCGCGAGTGGGAGACGTGTCGAAAGCGGGGAGAGCGCACGAGAGCAAGATCAACAAAAAAGCACAGCGATGGGGCAGAGAACGTGTGGAATTGTGCCTCCTCGTTGTGCCTCTTCGTCGTCTGACTGTGGAGCAGCCTGCGTCTTCAACTGCGTCGTCGTTCGCCAAATATTTTGGCAGCTCTAAGTGTGTTTTTTTTTTGTGGCTGCTGAAAAGTCCTACGAATTCTCGAACGTCCCTTGCGTTCGGCCGACTGAATACATTTATTTTCCCCAGAAGCAGTTTATGTGAGTTCGGTCTAAAGCCTTTGAGTCGAGCGTGAACGATTTTTTTTCTTATATTTTGCAGGCACCTCCCGTGGACTTTTGGAATATTATTCGCAACATTGCGTGGATGCCGGGCGCTGTGCATTCGCCCTACTCTTGAGGCTGAGTACTGTACTGCGATGTTTTTGTCAGACTTTTCCGATGTCATCCTAGATCGTAACTAGTCATTGCATGGTTACTAACCTGCGTGTATCGTCAATGTGAAGTGCATGTGTTATTTATTCAAGGACATATTAAACGTCTTCTGTTATGTTTTGCATCCAAATAGATTGTAAAGTCAATGTGGTTGTTAGGAATTGCTTCTCGTTGTAACGATTTTTTTTAAACATATCTATTATTCATTATTTTAGTTTAGTCCAGCTATATTGAAGATAACATATTCTGCCTTTTATTAGTTGCTGCAGTCTTGTTTGGTTATGTAATGTAATAATTGTCTCATGAGAGGAGAAATCGGACACTGTTCAGAGAACAAGAGGCATGCATGCAATTTAAATCGGTGTTATTCAAACCTGTGAACGAGAGCATTCGGGCACTCTAAATCAGGCAGTTTTTATTTCGGACAAATACTCTACACCATATTTATATTTCAGTTAATGCGGTGTGCAGTAAATATAGCACGTAGGTTGGCAGTAAGTAGGGTGAGCGATTACATCATTTCTGTTTTTTCACGTCGTTGTGTCTCTGTGTTCATGCGCTCTTCTGCCTCTTGGGGAGCGGGAGATTGGATTGATGCAGCCCCGTGTGTGCCTCGTCCTTTCCCAGCAAAGACGGAGGTGGTGGTGGGAGGGGGGGTGGGTTGTTGCGTTAGTCTCTGAGCTCTCTTCTATGCCTGTGGAGATGGAGGTGAATTCAATTCCTGCTCATGGGAAGAGTCTGAAAAAATGATCGACTGCGGTTGTTACACAGAAGCGCCGCATTGGCGCGCATGACCCGTTTTCACGAGAGCCACGTAATTTTCCACATTTGAAGCCAGAGTTAAATGAAAGAGGGGATGGAAAGATAGGGAAGGTGATAAAGCTCTCAGGAAAGTCACTGCTAACAGTCACCGTTAAAGGCATAATGTGCCCTCAGCTATAACGTCACCGTCTGAGGCAGTCACTTTGGATATGGATGGCTATCAATCCAATGGATGTCTTCACTTTGAGAAAACTGAATCGTGTGGTGATTTTTCTCTTCAGGGTTTCCATTTATCCTATTGCCTCTCGAGTGCGGCGGCCGTGTATTTCTCCAGGGCTCTTTGCATGTGTCGGTCTGGTGATGCACAGTTTGGGCGCGCCTCAGTCCTATTGATGTAGAGCTCCATATACGTGGCAGAGCAGCCTTTTGGTGGTGTGTTTCAAATAATTTATACAAATCATGGCCTACTTCCATTATCATTTGTGTTCTTAAAAAGCCACTTCTCGTGTGTAAATGCTGCCCGGCAGTAGAAACGCGATTTAAACGGAAGCTGGAGAAGTGACACTGCAGATAGAGGGTGCGAGTAGGCGATTGCAAAAGATATGATCTTTCTGGACAGATTCAGCGAGGGGGAAGCGGTCTTCGTTTGCTGCGGCCAGAGTTTTTTTGAAGCTGTCGTGCAGCTCTGAGTATGGCCTCTAGCCCCGCTGATAAACAGCCTCCGGACACCGATGAGCTCCCCATAGTTCCCCCCACAAATCCCCCTGCCGAGTCCCCGGCCGACCCCGCTGATCCGGCCGATCCAGCCGATTCCAATAATGAAGCAAATGAGCAGAACAACCTGGTCGAAATTTGCCGAGAGCAGGATGGCAACAACACAGAAGCTGGTGAGACGGCGACGACGAAGACGACGACAAAAGCTGAATGCCCCGCCAGCGAATGGGTCCTCCGTCCGCCGCGTGGCCCAAAGGCTGCCCACGCCGCATTTGTCGGTCGCGCCAAGATCCACGGCGTTCGCCACTTCCTGTGGCCCCGGGACGCTGTCACCCGTCGGATCCTCTGGCTCCTGGCCTTCATGGCTGCCCTGGGCCTTCTCTTCGCCTGGTCGGCTGACCGCATCCAGCACCTACTGTCGAGGCCCGCGCACACCAGGGTGAGCACGTCTTGGGTGCGTGGCCTTCCCTTCCCGGCCGTCACCTTCTGCAACAACAACCCCGTTCGCTTTCCTCGGCTCACCAAATCGGACCTTTATGTGGCCGGCATGTGGCTGGGCCTGCTCACTCACGCCGAGTCTCAACAGCCGCAAGCAACCTTTGCGGCGACAGCCACGAACCTCACGGCGAACCCGCACATGATGGCCGGTCTCTCAGAGCCGAGGCGGCAGTGGTTTCAGCGGATGTCTGACTTCTCGCGGTTTCTACCGCCCCGCGAGGCCCCCGGCATAAGCCAAGGCCTTCTGGACCGCCTGGGACATCCGCTCGATGAGATGGTGCTGTCGTGTCGCTTCTGCGGCCAGGATTGCAAACCGCAAGATTTCATCACCGTGAGTTCTGTTTGTTGGATTTCTTTCAAATGTCTCATGTGTCCTGACGTAAAGGTGGAACGAGCTTGACTGCATTTTTACAATTTGGGCATTTTGGTTTATTGCCCTGAATTAGATGATCAAATGTCAGCTGAAAATCAATTTTGGCAATTAGTCTTGATAGCTCTAGCTGAATAAATATATATTTGAAAATAATGTGCTGCTTTTGTGCGCCCAATCAATCTGTTTTGCTCGTGGAAAACTGGCCAGCTATAATAAATTATTGATCACTTAATGGAAATTAATTAAGAGCCAGCACCCTCTCGATTATTCATTATCATTCACTTAAAGAGCTGTTGCATCATGCAACAAAAATTCAAAAGGGAAAATCATTTGACAGTAATTGCGTTATAATTGCTATTGATGAGAAATGGGTAAACAGTGATTTTAAGATATAATTTTGAATAAATGTTTGTCCAAATGTACCTGCTAACACTTAACTGTTAATAAAAAAAAAATTTGGTCTTTTAGTAAAGTCACGTAGATAGTTTTATTTGAACCTATCTACGTGACTTTACCGAAGGACCCAAAGAATATTAATTCCTGCAGTTACGAAAGCTTTCAGTCATATAAATAATTGCGTATAATTTTATCTGGATATGTCAATTAATATAAGCTTTACCCATATGCAAAAGCCAAAGCTGGTAACAAATAGCACCTTTTTTCAGTGTGCATGTTCAACGTCTCTACGATTATCGCATTGCGCGAGTAATTATACAAATGAAGACATGCACAAGAAAGTATGCATAGGTTGAGGTAAAACAAAAATATCTCTACCAGACGAATAACACTGGTCAACACACTTTTTCTGGCATAAGGTATTCCAACGGTTTTAATGTAATTTTGGGGTGCTGATTCCAAATCTGACATCAGTTTTTGTCTATCACATCAGGTTTTTGAGATATCAAATATTGCATTTTCAATAAAAACTGCAGAAGAAAAATATTAAATAAATGTGGATATCTACATAAAATGTTATTATAAACACACTATCCTAAAAATACAGCACCATATTTTAACACTAAAGCAGTCACTGACTCGCAACAACTTGCAATCATAAGTGACAGAGTTAATTTCGGGTAAAGTCAATGAAAATGGGGTATGCCGATAGCATAAAATGAGATGTGATAGAGCAAATCTGAGATCAGATTTGTAATCAGCACCCTGAAATTAGTATAAAACAGCTACAAAAGACCAGGCCAGAATTTATTTTTTTGTTGACCAGTGTAATCACTGCAATTTTGCTGCTATTTATTTGTTTGCACTGCTTCCCATTAGTGTGCTTTTCCAAGGAAACATGAAATTTAAAGGAAATTAGGAGTTCACTGCACAATTAGTTTATTGGCTGAACTTCCTTATAATTGTAGAATATGGTGTCTTAAAATGATTTCTAAAATCTCTCTCCAGTTGGCATTTGCACAATGCTGTAATTTCAGCAGGGTTAACTCGTATTTAAGCATTTGGTATATATACATATCCCTTGGAGGTCTTGATAATCCATTTTAAGCAGAATAGGTGAATTGGTAATAAGTCTTTGTAAAAAAAAAGAACGCCACCTGCATTACATGTTGCTGTGGCTGGCATCACTTGGCACCATGATCACCATCTGTGCACAATTACAGGGGGAGAGAGCACCTGATAATTTGAAGCCATGAGCTAAAATTCATCGTTAGCATTCGACCTTTTACGTTATATTGCTATTTCATTCATTGTGTCTAGGTGTTAAATATTTAGAGTCTCAATATTCAAGTAAAGCACTATCGTGCATTCAATACATCATTGTCATGAAAACGAGATCATGACTGATGACGAACACTGGCAGCTTGTGTCGTGGACATGAGGTTGTTTTACCGACGTAAGTTTTGAAAATCATTATTTTCAGAAGAGTAAAGTGAGAAGCCTCGAGATTTGGCAGCTCTAAGCGTTATTTTAGAACCGTGAAAATAACTGACACAGCATAGAGAGATCTTCATTCAGCAGTGGATTGACAATTAGCTGTTAAATGTTACATTCAGTTATTATTAAACATATTATTGTACGTGTGTAACAATAATTTAACAGCTAACTCATAACACAAGTTTCAAGTTCATTTATTAGGTATAGCCCTGTGAGCCATTCGGCTCTTGAATCGGGTGCAACCGCAACAAACAAAAAACAAAAACATGAACAAAAAACATCTTAAAGTGAATATGTGACTATATATGACACCTGGAACATGCCCCATGACATACGTCCTCCTCCCAGTGAGCCTTTGACACTTCACGTGGCCTCAAAGTGCATTTAGAAATATGCAAGTGCCGTGAGGATGTCACCATCACTTTGTGTTGAATGGCGATCGGTGTAGTTGTTGATCGGAAGCATGTAAGTGTGTTTTTGTGCATTTTCGCAAGTGGTGGTACATTTGTAAGTTTGTGTGTGTGTGCGCGTGTGCTTTACCCCTGAAATGTATTGCGTGTGAGATGTGCAGACCAATCACACCCATGGGGACAGATGAAGCTGTCAATGCTCGCCACGTGCCCCCTTTGCAGATCAATCGGCCATGTCTCCGGTCAGGACAACTACCCTTGGGCTTCTCGGCAGCACTCAATACTTTCATTTAAAACCTGCCTATGTTGGATCCAACTCATAAATAGCTTGTCAATGCGTAATAGGCGTTTCAGTGTTGCACTTTGCACCTGCATGTGCAAGTCGTGTTTGTGTACGCCTCTTTGGGTGTCGTGTTGTGGTTACTGCACTGCGCGCTACGATCCTGGCGACCTGGGTTACATATCCGGCAATGGCTAACATCATTGGTGATTATCTGAACAGGTCCTTGGGGGCCTCCCTGCTTCAGTCGACTGAGTCTTAAATGAGTACCTGGTGTAGTGTGTACACATCAACGCTGACAAGACAAAGGCGGTCGGGCGTGGTGCTGGCCACACCACCCCAACGTTGCTGCGTCGACTTTCACAGGTGCTCGATAACAATATTTGCCCCAACATCCTCTTTGTGTCTCTACGAGGAATATCTGTCTTCATACGTATAGTACAGCCTCTTGACAAGGAAGAGAGACTTTTTTTCTGCTTTGGTCTGGGACACCGTTTTGCAAGGATAACTTTTACCTCGAATTAAGCATATTGTAACTTACCTAGTGAAATTATGAAAGCCATTTTTATTACATAAATACCTTTTCAAGATATAACAATTATAATCTTGCTTTACAAACCATTGTGAATTCACTGCTGAATTGAAGGTCTTCCCATGCCATCCCAGTCATGGAGGTCATTTGACCATACTTCACCACACTGCTCAGTGCGGGTTGGTGAAGGATGGAGTCCAGGGAAGATTGAACTTGTGGCCTAGATTAGCTGTGACTGGAATCTGAGTCGACCCTACCCTCCTTCTGATATCCTTCATATTAGTCATCAACGGGTGATCTATTAAGGTGAGAGTTAGGATGTAATGACCAAAGTTAGAAAAAATACAATAATTTATCATCTAACTTATGTAGATTACTATATATGTGGTAGATCACCAATGACAAGAATACCTACATTGTGTGCCACCCTAGTACAGTGGCTAAGGCTGCATGTGAGTGTGATCCCCTGAAGATGTGCACAAATACAATGCGCGAGTTTGTGAAATTACTTTTTGGTGGCTGTTTCACACGGACTGTCCCCCAACCTGTCATTAATCTCGGTCAGTAGACCGAGACCCATTCCTCTGGCCACCTCCCTCCATTTTACACGTACAAATATAATGCATGAATCTGGTGTCCTGGCTTTGCCCACTCCACACGCTGGTTGTCCCCAAGGCGTTATTAATCTCACGGCCAGCGCGCTGAGACTCAACAGCTTGACAGTCCGTCCTGTCGGCCACCTCTCCCCTGTCACCACTCCTATCACCCCCTCCGTGCGCTCGAATTCCAAGAGCCTGTGTCATCAGCACCCCCTTACCGTCCACCTCGTGACTCCACTGCCAACGGTGGCCGCAATCCATGTGGGGACGAAAATGTAAAACGCGCCCAATAGAATTGGCTAAGATCCATGGTCAATGATTAGATCGGGAGCTGCCTTCCCCACCTCCCCCCCCCCCCCAAGAGGGAGTCAAAATAGATAAGTATATGTTAGTAAAAAATATATAAACTACATTCTGTGTATGATGATAGTGGAAAACCAACACAAATGTTTCTAGTGCATTCATTTATACTCCGTACTGCGTATATATTTGCGGTTGTGCTGGAGAGCTTTGTGATTCGTTATCACGAAGTTCGACGTTTCGCTGCACGAGCTGGGAGAAAAACATTGGACATGCTGCAGAGCAGCACGTGATGCAACCTGCAAACACATCGGAGAGCTGTAATTCATGAATATTATGGAAATGGATTTTAATTGCATTTAAGCTGCTTGCAAGTCCCGTATTATATATGAAATGTTTGTAACAATTTAATTGAGCATGACATTTCATGGGTATTTCTCTTGTTTTTCTTCATTTAAAAGTAGATTTCGACCTCTTTCTGCTGCCATACACGTGATCTGGCCGCTTGTGAGCGGGTATAGGTTGTTAAAGGCCCCAGAAATGTGTGGCAGATTTATGAGAACAGAATAAAGATTGAATGCAGCACGAGTGCCTTTTATACTCCTATACTCCCACATCCATTTAATTCTGCAGACCTCCCCTGCCATTATGGTAGAGAAAAATGCATGGCAGTGTGCGTGAAGCATCACTGCTTATTTATTTGTTTAAAATCTTTGGATCGCCCAGAACAACATGGGCTCAATGAGCATGCCCTGGCACCGTCGTGACACTGCATGCACGGCGCTCGATGTTGAGAAACATCGCAACAAAATGAATGGAATGGGACTTGGTGGAATAGGGTGAGATGGTAAGGTTGATGAGTGTGTGGCTGGCTGACTGACTGACTGGCTGGGTGCTTGGGGGGTAGGTGGGTGGGTGCTTGGCTGGGTGGGTGGCTGGGTGAC